TGGAGGATCGACAAAAGAGGGGGAGGCCTTCAACGAGATGGATTGACACGCTGGCTGAGATGATGGGCTCAAGTATAGCAGGGATCATGGAGCTGGCATGGGATCGGGCAGTGTTTCGTTCTGCTGTGCATGGGATCTCTATGAGTCAGAAAGGACTCTACGGCACCTAACAACAACAACACACCATACAATGGTAGATCTATATCCATTCTTATGACTTCAACCATTCCAGTTTCTATCTGTGTGACACTAATATGTCTCTGGGGATGGTGGTGGTTCAGTGGTAGAATTCCCAACTTCCCTGTGGGGGACCCAGGTTCGAGTCCCAGCCAGTGCACTTCATGAAGAAGCCATCACCTGTCTGTCAGTGGAGGCCTGCACATTGCTGTGCTGCTGAACAGATTTCAGTCTAAGACAGAGTAGGAAGAAAGGCCATGTGATCTACTTCTGAAAATCAACCAGTGAAAGCCCTATGGGTCACAGTGGTCCCACTGCAGCTGATCATGTGGATGACTTGACGCAGCACCAGGCACCCTTTTGTTCCATTTTGTCCCATGATCCTGGGGCCTGCTCGATGGCAGCTAACAACAAGAGGTTTGTTTTTTCCCAGATGATAACTTCAGATTAACTCATTGTGCTATAAAAGTTCCTTCAATAATGCTGTTTCCAGCTCTTACCAGTGTTTTATTTTTAAGACTAAAGAAGAAGAAGAAGGTCTATTAGTTGAGAAAGCTCTAGTGGTTGACAGGTTACCTGTCATTTCAAAAAATTTCTCAAATATAAATAAATAAACAAATATTGTTTTATTGAACAATATTATTGGTTCATTTTAAAGGATTCACTGACTTTTTGCAATTTCCTCTGACCCTTTTCTACATGATGAGTTGCCATCTTGCTTTGCTGTGGGTTTGAAAGACAGCCTGGGAGGTCCACCTGGAATGAATCCATGGTGAGGTGATGTGAGCTGAGGAGTGACAAGGGTGCTTGCTCCAGTTTGGCCTGTCGGCCGTGTGACTATAGGAAGCCCCCAGATGTCCTCGGCTCTGAAGTGAGAAGATGAACTTCGTGGACTATTCAGGGCCTTTCCAGGCCTAGAGCTTTGCACACTGACAAGCCAGTCAAGGCCTGGCCTTCCCAGGAGCTCACGGAGCCAAACTTCTGGCTCTGGGGCCTCAGTCTTCAGTATTTTCCCTTCCTATTTCACATTTCACATCAAAACATTAGCCCTTTCAAAGAAGAGATGCTGTCTTTTTTTTCTTCACTTCTTTTCTCAACCTACGTGGCTCCACTGTGCCTGTTTCTTTAAGTCAGATGGTGGTAATGATAATATTTACTTCATTGGATTGTTGTGAAGTTTGGGTGATCATATATCATAATAGATAATAGGTTATATACATAAATACATACAAACTAGTTGCCATAGAGCCATTCCAATTCATGAAGACCTTATGTGTGGCAGAGAAGAGGTGTGCTCCATAGGGTTGTAAGCTGTTATTATACATCTAAAGCCAAATCAGTAGCTCTGGTGGTGCAGTGGTTAAGGCATTCAGCTGCTAGCCCACTAGCCAGTCCATGGGAGAAAGATGTTGCAGTCTGATTCCATAAAGATTTGCAGCCTTGGAAAGCCTGTGGGGCAGTTCTACTCTGTTCTGTAGGGTCACTATGAGTTGCAGTCGACTCAGCGGCAATGAGTTTGGTTTTTCTGGAAAGCCAAATCCAGCCTACAAGTGTACTTTGTTTGCTTACAGACCCTGCCGTTCCTGGCAAGCTTCTCTTATTTGTGTCACCTTTCTGATTTTGGAAAGCAGAGACATTTTTGATCCCTATACTTTAAAAGCTCTGGTAGCATAGTGGCTAAGACACTTGCCTGCTAACCAGACGGCTGGTGGTTCAAACCCACCAGCCACTCCTCGGAAGGAAGGTTGGGCAATCCTACTTCCGTAGTGATACTGCCTCGGAAACCCAAGGAGGGGTCACTATGAGTCGGGGCCGACTCGACGGCACATAACAACAACAAATACTTTAAAAACATAATGTCTCAAACTTCCCATTATTTTTCACCTTATTCTTCTCTTTCAGGGTTTATTAAACCTAACTAATATGAAAATCCCTACCATCTATGTGCTTTTATGAAGGTGTGAGTGTAGCAGTGGCCTTGTGACACCTGATGATGGTAGCTGCTGTGTGATTGAAATCTGGTGATGCTTCCTATTTGGCATCTGTGCATTACTCTAGTAGCCATGGCTAGATTCGAACCATCCTAAAGTCTGAGACTTTGTTTTAAACATATTTACGTACTCCTAGATTAAAACAGAATGTTGCCATATAGCAGGTGTTCAAAGAATAACCTATTGGTGATTTAGTGTTGGTTTTAAGACTTACCTGCTTTGAGGAAGGATCCGATTCAGATTCAAGAAACTTCCCTTGATCCGTCACTAAGTATTTAAATACAGAAAACTATGCCACCAGAGCTCCCATCACTAAGTATTTAGTAGCTAATAATAATATCCAGTAGTTAATAAGTACTTGCTAGGTGATAAGCTTTGTACTTGCTGCTATAATGCAACCATATCAGTGCTAGTATTACATCCAGCCTGCTAGTGGGGAGCCTGAAGTTAAGAGAATTTAAGGGCCTGACTGACACAATCTTAAATCTGCTTGAAGCCAAGTTCATGCTCTTTAACAAATGTGGTAGTCTGCTTATGTTATCTGTAGCCCTTCCTAACCACTGTCCCTTTCGCCCCCTACACAAGGAAGGTGGACAGTTAGAGATCACTATTCCTCACCCCTACATTATAACCAAATACCTTTTGACAATTTTCTCATCTGCTCTAAGTGAGCATATTCATTTGACATGACTGAGTGGATCACTGGAAACTGACATGAGGGCGTAGGATTCAATAGGTGTTTATCTTTCTGCCTGATCCCTCAGGTATTCGCCGCCAGACTATCCACTGCATAAAGAAGGGCAGAGGAGTTGTGAAAGCTACATTCTGTGACCCAGAAAGGCAGCCCAATGGGAGACAGAAGAAGTGCTATGAAAAGGATTGTCCACCCAGGTAACCATTGATAACAACTGGAACTCTGTGTATTTGCCTAGTGTTATGTCTAATTTGATAGCAATCTAATATTCAGTAACAAAGAGGGACTGTGTGACCTTGTTATTGTAATAAGTACAGGAAAGCTGTTAGGGGCTTCCATGCCTTTATTGGATCCCATGGCAATCTATAGGTGAGGGCTTTTCTCTTCATGGAGTGGTATTTTTCATAAAGCTGGTGTGTTTTGTGTTTAATTATTTGGTAACACTAAACCCCAAAACATTATTGACGAGAATGCTACATAGAACACCCAAAAGCTCTTTGGATTTGGCTTTTCCAAAGGCTCTTCACCACACTTTCAGTGAGCACTTTGGACCTCAACACTTTTGTATCATTTTGCCCAGTTGTACTTAAGGTTCCCTGGAAAAATGTAATTTTAGAGCAGGGCTTATCCCTATTGATTCTTTGGGCCAGATAATTCTTTTTGTGGGGAGCTGTCCTGTTCATTGGGGTGTGTATACCGGCTCCCTGGCCTGTACCTACTAACTGTCAGGAGCACTCGCCTCCCAGATATTGACAACCAAAAATATGTCCAGACATTGCTTAATGTCCTCGGGTGGGGGGAATGAAATCATCCTCAGCTGAGAACAAGCGTTACAGAGATATTCATCTGATAATTCTATTTGTTCAAGATATGGGGATCCTAGAATGTACCTGGGAGCTCTGGTAGCATAGTGGCTAAGGCACTTGACTGTTAACCAGAAGGCTGGTGGT